TTTTCAGATCAGAAAATGCTCAACTCTTTGTCTGCTTTCTACTTGTTTTCACTGTTTCCCCCTTACTTTTCTTGGGCTGCAGATGGTCCTTTTCCTCTGGCATCATTTCTGCTATCATCATTCACAGCATAATTGTGCAAGCATATCTAATGCTGGGTTTAATTTACTATATAATATATATATAGTGACTTATGCAGGGTTATGCCCCTAATAGCTATAGTTTCTTACTTGGCCAAGAGATTTCATATTTAAGTATTAAATTTCCACTTCAGTGAAATCTTAACAGATCAAAAAATGTTGGAAGAAAGAATTCCCTTTGGTATTTGGTCTCCTATTTAAGAAATACTGTAGTTAGAGTTTATCTTGTAGTATTAATCTTTGCATTTTGGAGAATATGAGGTTTGAACTAATTGATACACATAGAAGGGAAACTAACTTCTTAATCCAGCATGAATTTAAAAATTGATGAGATTCACAGTGGTTCTTTATTGTGGAGTTGTTAGCATTGTGAAAGATTCATTGTTCTATTCAGCTCTTAAATTCTGCAACCATGTCCCACCTCTTTTTACTCTCCTTTCCTCTCCTTCAAGGATAAAGAAAATGGTATTTATCTGTTGTACATCCAGTTCTTATAGTAAACAAGACCGTAAGTCCAGGCACTGTAGTAGGAATTGCTAGGTTTCTGCTTGTTTTATTTCAGTGTAAAGTGCTAATGTTTAAAAGCAATTTCAAGGGATGAGACCCTTTGTACTTTGCTTATTTCAAGAATCAGTGGTGGGAGCAGTGAAGTAAATTCCATGGAATACATTTCTGAAATCCTAAGTTGATTCAGGTTCTTCCCCTTTCCTGTACACAAGCAAATAGAAATGCATCTGTTAACATCTATAAGAAAAAGCTGTATGCTGGTTGAGCATGCTTCTTTAACCCTTTAAAAATAACTCAGCATATAAACTTGCGTTTGAGCTTGCTGGTGTTCTTTTTGTTAATGTGTGTTCTCGTTTCTCAAAATTTCCAGTGTGCTGTGAACAACTCTAGACCAGCTGCTTCTGGATTCTTTATTTTATTTACTGAACTACATATTACCTAATTATTACCATAAGTGGGTAAAAGTAAAATTGGGCTTCTGAAAATGTGTCCTGTGCTTTTAGACTTTAAGTTTCACAAAAACAAAATAGTCTTCATTTTTGTAGAAACTTAGTATCATTTCTAAGCCAGAAATGTTTTCTTGTGCTATATTAATGCTATAAGAAGGAAAAAAGTAAAGGAGTTTTTTTCTGCTTAAAAATATATAGTTACTGGATATTTCTAGCTATGTGAAAAATAAAGTGGTTTCAAACTGGATATTGACTCTTCCCACCACCACCACCACCCTTTTTTTCCCCCAGCATGTGTTCTGGTTTTTTTTTTTTTTTTTTTTGGTCTCTGTCACTCATCCTAAGGTATCTACTGAGCACAGTAGACTTTATAGATTACGAAGTGTTGGTAACAAGGACCCCTAAAAATATACTAGCCTAAGTACAGTCAGGTAGTAGTACAAAGGGAAGCAGTTCTCCTGTACTCAGAATGGAGCTTCCATTTCTGTGTCCAAAGATGTTTGCTCTGGTGCTTATCTTCCAGCCTGAAAAAACAGGAGAGGGCACCAGGGAAGTGTATGTTGAGATGCTGATGCTATACATGGAATCAGCATTCTGTCCTCATCCCATTGGTCAGCTTTGTTTTGTATTGAGATGATACTTAGCTACAAGTAAAGCTAGGAAGTAAGTCGTGTGCCCAACAAAAAGTTAGTACTACAGAGATGTGGAGAGAAGACTCAGAGTAACAACTAGCAGCCTACTGCAGTAGAAAATGCTGGCCTAATGGGATAAGGGAGAATCATTTGAGATTTACTAATATCTAAAATTAGCACACCCACATAGGCACAAGTATCAGGTGAGTAGTACTCAATCTGGGCCAAGCACTTTGTAATCATCCTGCAAGTGTTGACTTGCTTCTAATAATGACCACAGGGGTGAGTAATTGTCCCCACTTTATATAGATGAGGAAACTCAAGCACTTAGGTGAAGTGCCTGGGACAACATAGTTAATGGTTTGTGGAGCTGAGATTCTCCTCAGGCTTGTGACTTCAAATGTGTTCCTCCTAAATTCTATGCTCTGCTGTCTCTCCCTGTGTACAGGGTTGCTTCTTGTTCATGTTAAGAAATTGAAAACCCAACTGTACATTTGAAGGGCATTAGTTAATAAATAAGTTCTGTCACACAGTGGTATCATATTGGGTGTACCTATGTGCACATCCACTGGGGCTTCTAATAGAGACATAGCATAAATGAAGTGCTTAGTCCACTTGTGACAGGCTCAGTAAGAGGGACAAGAAAAAACTAGTTTAAAAAGTTACAGTGTAGTAGCTTTAGAAGTTCAATACCAATATTTACAACTAACATAGCATACTTCAAATGGAGTACATGTAGTTTCTTTTTGAGGGTGGGGTGAGTTCCTTAAAGTTAATAGGCAAATAGAACGATAGTTGTTAAACTTCAAAAAGGTCAAATCTAAAATGACTAAGGCATATTGAGTTGGCAAAAGTTCTAAAACTATGGATTCTAAGTATTAGGTGGCTCAGAGTAGCAAGGAGGCAAATGGAACTAATACAAACCTGTGTTTAAGCTCTGAAAATCCAGGTATCTTGTATATAATTAGGATATCCTTAAGTAGTTTACTCAGGTCACTAGGACATTTTCAGGTTGAGGTGTAAGTATTTGGACTATAAATATGCTAGTGTAGAAACATGAAATGATCAGTTTTGGCTAGGTTCTAACTCATACTGATGACGTGTGTGAACAGAATGATCATTAATTTATGTTTCTGTAGTGTGGGACTTCATGCTTACATAATTCAAGGGGCCCTCTAAGAAAAACTAAAATTAGGAATACTGAGATGTAAAAGTGTTTACAGCAAGAAAGAAAAGATAATTAGAGAAAGATAGTTAGAGATTGTAAATAATCTCAAACATCACAACTATGGAGATAGTTTCATTTGTTAAATGATGTATGTGTGTAACTGCTACGTTTGCTGTTGCCTACTCTTGAGTACATGACTTAACAATGTCTGGTAGAATAGAAAATTCCATCTTGATTAAAATATTTTTGATAGGTGGGATGCAAAAGATTTCACACAGAGGGACATGTCATCTGTGCTAGGTCATGCCCTATGAATCAGAGTTCTGATAAATCAAATCGGGTTGAGTCACCATCATAAAGGGGAAGTATCCATAAAATATGTTTCTAAATCTGTATGCTGCGTGATCCAGTTCTTGAGAGAGCTTCCAATTTAATTAGGAGTCCATGAGAGCTGTGTCCACTGCTTAAATGTAAGCACCGGACAGATTTCTGTTTCAATGCCAGAATCCTATCTTCGTTTGCCTTTTGGATCCACAGCTTCATGTCATGACCCTGGGGTGGGGGTGGGGGGGTAGTGTTCCTGGAAGCAATTCCTACGACAGGACGTCTAGCAGTAACTTATATTAATACATAGATATCTGTAAATTCAACTGTGTCCCCAAGTTGCATTTGATTTAGCTGGGGTCACTGTAGCACCACCATAAATGAAAGGCAGTTTAAGTGGAAAGGGGTCCTAAGCAATCGCGATTAAAATATTTTCTGCAAGTTGCTTGAAAACATGACCAAGTAAACATTGCTAGGGCCCTCTTCTGGGAGTGAAAGTCATAAAGGGGGTAAAGCACTGGGCCTGGTTGTAGTAAGCACTCAAGAGCTGTCAGCAAGAATAGTATGGAAGTAAACTTGCTAGTAGGGAAACTGGCGGAGACACGTGACTATGGTGTCCAAGTAAAAAAGGTTGAAGGCCTCGAAACATGGTCTCTCAGTGTGTTCTGGGTGAGTCGCTAGAATGTGGTTTTTCTAGTTCTGTGTAGTTTGGTTTTTCACTTTGGAATATGGAAAAATGTTTTCTTCAGTATTTTATAAAGTAGTTTACATAAAAATTAACTTTTGTAATCCATACAGCAAGTGGAGTTATTGGTATTAATACTGTCATTTCACAAAGGAGGAAACCAAGAGGTTAAATCATTTTCCTCGTTGCCAACTAGTTTGTTCCCACTTGCATATGGTCATTTTGATCTGAAGCTCAAGTTCTCTTCCTACCAGAGTTTTTCAGAGGGGAGAACCTAGGCCTATCAACATTTATTTCCTTTTGACTAAAATGTGACAAACAATTCGCAAGAGAAAAGAACCAGTTAAGTCTCAGAGAAACAGAGACCTGAGTTCCCTTATCTTGCTTGTTTTCCGCTCGCCATTTACGGAAGTGGAGAAAAAGGCGTCTGTGTAGGTTTCCTGAAGTCCCCAGCGTTGGAGTAGGTGTGAAGCACGGGTGCCCACGTCCCGGCAACGCGAGCGAACTCCGGCCTGACCCGTGGGTACCGCATTTCCGGCTGTTCCACTGCCCCGCCCCGCCCAAGCCCCGGGGACCAATGAGAGGCAAGGGGCGTTCCCAGGCCCGCCTTCTCCTCATCGCTCCTCTGCGGCCTTCCGCCGGGAGACTGGGCTTCCTGCGACCCGGAAGTTGTTGTTCTGGAGGCGGGCCTGTGAGGGTGGAGCTTGTGACGCTGTCGCCCAGGTCTCCGGCGCTTCTTTACTCATTCCGTTGGCTGCTGCTCCTGCTGGAAAACTGTGGCGAGGTCTGCGGGGAACCGCACCTATGGCTTCCGTGCTGTCCTACGAAAGCCTGGTCCACGCCGTGGCAGGAGCCGTGGTGAGGCAGGGTTTTCACGCCCGGGCTACTTGCGGGGTGTGGGGCTTCTCTGGGTCCAGACCCGGGATGTGACTGAGGGGTGGGGATGAGAAAGAGAACTTGTGGGTTGGAGTGTCCTGTCGTGACTGCGGGACGAAGAGAAATGGGGCATAGGCGAAAAGTTACTGGAAGAATTTGGGGTGAGGGCCGACACTCACCCTCCGCCCTCCGGCCACCGCTCTGGCCTCAGAATATCTGGGATGTAGGCAGCGGTGGTCCCACACACCCACCGGAGGTCAGGAAGAAGATAATTGCGGTTTTCTTTGCTTTCTGAAATGTAAAGGACAATCATTCCCCTACTCCACCCGCACCGTACACACAGTTTGTCTAACTGGGCTAGAGGAAAACCTAGGTGTGAAGCTGTGTTGTTTAATCGCGTGCTTAACTACAGCCTGTTTTCATACACCTGCTGCAGACAAGTGGCAATACCTAGTGGGGATACCCCTGGCCAATGTAATTGGCAGAAGATACCTCTTTTACTATTATTATTCTTAAAAATCAAGGTCAGAATTGCTGTCTACAGAGGTGTGGTTTACTGTGAGGAATGTGATTCTTGGGCTTCTGGTTGCCTCACTTCCATTTGACACCACTCCCTTTTCCTTGAAACTTTCCACCTTTGGTCTGAGTAACTTCCTCTTCCGGTTCTTGTCATCTTCTCTGACTGCCCTTCTCACATCCTTCTCTAGTTGTGAGTATGCACCTGAAATCATTGGGACTTCAGAGGAATATCACTGAATCCTCTCCTCCTAAGGCCCCCAAAACTGCACTGAGAGCTCGTGTTCTGTGCAACTAATGGGAGTTGAACCCCAACTCCATCATGTGTTAGATAGGTGGCCTGTAAACCTCACTTTACTAATCTGTAAGGTGGGGGTATTGACACCCACCTCACAGGTATGTGACTAGCTCATGGAAGTACCTGATTAAGGAGTCTTGGTTCATTCAATTAGACCAGAAGAGCCTTACAGCCAGTGTAAAGTCACTGAAATGGAAGCCTGCTTGACATGCCCTAGGATCGGCATGAAGGCCTATGTGTTTGGAGTGGAGGGAACAAAGAGACAAATAGGCTTCAGGGACCAAATTGTGTGAGACTTAACTCTAGTGTAAAAAATAGGTAACTAGGTATTAGAGGTTTTGAATATGCAGTAACTTGCTGATTTACATTTTAAACGTGATCACCCTGGTTGCTCTCTTTAGAAAAGATTGTAAGGGAGCAAGGACAAAAGCAGGGAAACTATCAGGGAACCAGGATGGTAGCAGTGGAGGCGGTGAGAAGTGATCATTAACCTGGAATATATTTCTGAGTTAGAGCCACCAGGTTTTGATGGTAGATTGGATATGGGGTATAACAGAATGAAAGTTGGATGACTCCCAAGAGCTTTTGGCTTGAGCAACTCAAAGGATAATATTCCTATTTACTGATACGGTGAAGACTGTAAAGGAGCAACTTTGAGGGGAAAAATGAGGAGTTTGGTTTGGGTTTTTGACTAGTTAAGTTTGAAATACCTAAGAGTAGTTATGAGACTAGATGAGCTCACCAAAGAAATGAGTGTGGACTGAGAGAAAAGTCTCAAAGACTTAGCCTTGGAGCATGCCAACATTAAGAGATTGGGGAACTGATATAGCATCAGCAAAGGAGACTAAGGAAGGGCCAGTAGGGTAGAAGGACAACCAAGAAAAGGTGGTGTGCAAAACTGACATGGAGAAGGGTGTAGACCAACTGGCTCAGATGCTGCTGATGAGTCAAATAAGATGAGGACTGAGAATTAACCTTTGAATTGATTCACATATTTATCAACATGATAAATCCAATGGCTAACTGAGAAGACCTGTTTTGGTAGGTTGGTGGGTTAAATAGCTGGAGTGCATGTAGAGAGAATGGAAAGGAAATATTTGTTTTCCTTTCTTTCTCTTAATAAATGCCATTTATTCAACATCTTTACTGAGTGCTTTCTACGTGCCAGGCACTGTTTTAGGTGCTAGAAATACAGTGGAAAACAGTCATTTTCTTAGTGAAGTTTGCATTCTAATGGGGCAGTCGGACAATAATTGAGTAATCAAAATATAAATAATTTTAGATAGTGTTAAGTTCTGTGAAAGAAATAAAATAAAGGTTGGCAAACTTTTTCTTTAAGGAGGCAGAATGGTAAGTATTTTAGGTGTATGGTCTCTGGAGAAGCTACTCAATAGTGTCATGATAGTTTGAAAGCACCCATTGACAATAAGTAAATGAATGCACAGAACTGTGTTTCAATAAAATCTTATTTACAAAACCAGGCAGTGGATTAGACCTGGCCGTTGGGCTATAGTTTTCTGAGACTTGCTATAGTGACTGGGGGGTAGAGGTAGTATATCTCTATTTAACCTGCAAAGACATTTCTATTTTTTCCTCTCCTTGTTGCTTGTTTTCTCTTGTTAAAAGCTCTGCTTAAAATTATGCACCCTGAATTTGCAATGGTTTTTCTTTCTCCCGTAATCTATGTTAGATTATCTAATAGATATACTTCCGTGTAAGAATAATTTTTTTCTCTTACTTCCCCTCAGGGCAGTACTGTTCCTAGCACATGCCTGAATGAGAAATTGCATTGTGTTTTGCTGTTTGTTTGAGCTATCATGCTGAAGAATGGTTCTCAAACTCTTTTTCAAATTTCTGTGTTAAGGATAAACCATACAACATGGACCCTCCCTGCTTTCTTCTGGTTGCCACCAAAGGGAAAAAAATTTAACCACAAAAATGTTACTACATTTGATGATAAATTTGATGAGAAAAACTGCGTTGCTTTTAATGGTATAGTATTGTGGTAATCCCTCATATTTAATTACATGTCCCAACTGTGATGTTCAACCAGAGCTTTGATGTGATCAAGGAGAGCATAGTGAGAGCACTTGATTGCCTGAGAGCCTGACTTGAGCCAGGCAGCCTGGGTCCGAAACCTGGCCATTTCCCTCGCCAGCTCTGTGTCTTTTGTATAAACGCCAAGATTGCCTGGAGTAGTTAGTTGCTACTTCTCTCCAAAAGATTGTTGGATCATTATTTAAGATGTGGATTTACAACCTTTTTGAGTTGACAAGTTTCATATTTGCTTATTCACTTCCTTCCAAGTTCTACACTTTCTCCCCTCGAGTGTGGTGTTGTGTTTTATAGACACACACACACTCTTTAAAAATTAAAATATTTTGAGTATTTTATGGCACACTTTGGTGTTAATTGCAGATAAACTCAAGTATTTGAAAAACAGAATTGTGCTGTTTCAGGAGAATGCTTTATCTCCAGTTGATGACTATTGTATAATATAATTAATAGCCTCACGTGTACATAATTCTCAAAATTTTGAGTATAATTAGATTTATAATTTTATATTTTTGACTATTAGATTAGCTTTGAAAGGTAGATTTTATTTGTAGAAATATACATTTGTAATTAAAAGATTTTTTTAGTCTAGAATTTGGAAAGTGAGATTGGGGCAATTAGATGCTGAAACAAACTTTAGAAGTATAATGATAATAATTAATCAGTAACTTCCTTGGGACTTCTTTTTTCCCTACTGGTTATTTGAAAATTTAAAAAAAAATGAAATTACATAATTTGTTTTAAAAAATTACATTTCATTGAATAAATGCTGACTATTAAAAATTCAAGTCATACAGAAATATGGAAGAGTTCTCCTTCCACTCTACCTATTATTGTTCTGTGATTCAAAACCCAGACACTCCAGTCCTTAGAATTCTGTAAGAAGTCTTATTCAGAGCCCTTTTCTCCAGCTGATAACAAAAGAGAAAATTAGGTGCAACTGTATGACTCTGTAGCTCATACACTTAACAGTACAGTAGACTTTTTACTGTGTAGACTCACTACCTGCCTTTTAGAAATAGAAACCAAATAGAACCTGATGATTTTCTGTACAAGCCCTTCATAACAAGTGGTTAAAAGTGTAGACCCTGAAACCAGACTGCCTGAGTTCAAATCTCAGCTTTGCTGCTTATCACATGTATTTCCTTGGGCACAAGCCCTTCTGGATAGAAAGGTCAGTGGAAGAGCCCGTCTCCTCAGGAACTCTTCCTAAGTGTGGACAAGACCCGTGGTGGTACCTAGAAAGAAGTGGTGGGCTGTACCTGTGGAGGTGATGGGAAGCCCCCAAGGTTGACATATTTAGACCTGGTCTTGAAGAAGGAGTTGAAGTTTGCTAGGTAAAATGAAATAAGAGGGCAGTAGACTTTTAGCCAGAGCAAGAAGTGTGTTCAACGGCTGTAGTGTGTAAGTCAGTATTCAGGGACCTTCAGCTTAGCTGGTGTAAAAGGTAGGAGATGAGTAGAAGAGTGTGACTGAAGTTGGAGAGCCTCATGTACTACACCAAGAAGCTTGGGTTAAAGTTTATCAGAAACAGTACATGTCAAGAAATGGTTGTATCTTCCTCATTCTCTGTGTTTATATACAAATAGGTTATTTTTTTATTGTTGTTTATTATTGTTGTTGACTAGAGTGTCACATCCTGGGTTTTCTTGGTGTGTTTGTTTCAGGATATAAAGCATTTCCCATGTGTGACATTTAGGGTTTTCTGGTTGCAAGCTGGAGAAACAGACTTTGAGTGATTTAACAAAATGGAAGCTGACTGACAGGCTCTTTGGGAGTTCCCAGGATCAGTGGGGAGGCTGAAGACTTGGACTAGGAATGAACCAGTAGCCTCCAAAAAGATTTCTGAAGCATTCGAAGTGTCTAGGATCAGTGGATTCTGATCTTGTTTCTTCTGCCCCTACAGCATTCTGCTCAAGATTCAGAGTTTGAGAGAGTCCTTGTTAGCTTTGTTCAAGGTCATGTGCCCACCCCTTGTTTGTAACAGGTGGGAAAAGGAAAGGTCTAGCCTTCAGGAGCTCACCTGTTGTAGTGGAGAGTGGGCACCAGGATGTACCAACCTAACAAGATTGTGCACCATGGGAAGAGGTAAAGAAAATCAGCCTACCCTTAG